AATGTTTTTTTTAAAGATCGGCCAGGACAAAGCAAGACAGATAAACTCCATTTTCACTCCAGCTTGTGTTGTTGTGTCTAAGCAGGACAGGTGACTTACTAGGTGAGGTGACTGCAATCCCTGGGACCTCCATGGTGGCAGTAGAGAGCTGAGCCTAACAGGTGGCGGACCTTGGTGGTTATGCACACCCTAACACACTCAATAAATATGAAAACAATCGAGATGTTAGGTGTTTGGTAGAGAGATCCAGAGTGCCCTAGGAGCACAGCAGTGGGAAGTTCAGGGGATGGCGGGTAAGCTGGGGCCTGAGGCGGTGGCCACGTGAAGACTGGTGGAAGGGGGAGCATCAACAGTAAGCTCAAGGAGCTGGAATGAGCCGCGTGTGGTCGCAGTTTCTGCAGAAGCATCCTTGGCTGTTGCTTGAGAGGAGCAGCAGTCAGCCTTGTACCTTCTGAGTCTGCACTGGCTCTGTAGCCCTGGCTGCTATGCAGAGTGCCCTGTAGACACGGCAGGCTGAACCTGGTGGTCCTCCTGACTGAGACATGATGTCTTTTCCCACCTAGATCAAGCACATGATGGCTTTCATCGAACAAGAAGCCAATGAGAAGGCAGAGGAAATCGACGCAAAGGTGAGATTTTCAAGTTAACTAAAGGTTTGTGCTGTTTGCTTTTCCTAAGCACTATTACTGCTAAAATTGTTTAGTTTCGCATCACATATGATCAGTAAGAAAATATCTTTCTTTTTTTTCTCCTTCCTCAAGATAAGGTTTCTCTGTGTAGCCCTAGTTGTCCTAGAATTGGCTCTATAGATGAGGCTGGCCTCAGACTCACAGAGATCCACCTTCCTCTGTCTCCCTGAGTGCTGGGATTAAAGACATGCACCACCACTGCCCACCTTTAAAAGTGGGGGGGGGGGAGCTGAAGAGATGTCTCAGTGGTTAAGAGCACCGACTGCTCTTCCAGAGGACCCAGGTTCAATTCCCAGCACCCACATGGCAGCTCACAACTGGCTGGAGATCCAGTTTCAGGGGATCTGAAACCTTCACACCAATGCACATAAAATAAAGTTAAATAAATCATTAAGAAAGGGGAGGGGGGAGTCTGGGCGGGCAGTGGTGACACACGTCTTTAATCCCAGCACTCGGGGAGGCAGAGGAATGCAGATCTCTGTGAGTCTGAGGCCAGCCTGGTCTACAAGAGCTAGTTCCAGGAAGGCTCCAAAGCTACAGAGAAACCTGTTCTGTACTTCTGTACTCCCAACTCCTAGGTGCTGGAATTACTTACTTTACCTGTTTTATGGCATGCTAGGATTGAATGGCATGCATGCAAGTGCTCTACCACATGAGCTAGGTCTTTAGCACTCATTGTAGAATGTGGTTCAGGGGCTGGAGATAAGGCTCAGCAGTTAAGAGCATTCACGACTTGTCCAGAGGACCTAAGTCTGGTACTCAGCACCCATAGCAGGCAGCTCACAGCTGTCTTGTCTGTAGCTCCTTCTCCAGGGGATCCTATGCTTCTGGCCTTCATGGGCATTAGCACATACCTACATGTAATTTAAAATAATAAATCTTTTAAAAAGAATGTGGAAGTTCAAATACCTATTCCAAGCCTTAAATAACTAAATTGGTAACTTGCCCAAAGTCATAATTCTTTTGTTCTTATTTTTGAGACAGTATATCATGTACTATAGGCTGCCCTGTAAGGTGAAGATGCCTTGAAGTTTAAAAACAATTTTTATGACGGTCGGTGGTGGCACACACCTTTAATCCCAGCACTCAGGAGGCAGAGGCAGGTAGATCTCTGAGTTGGAGGTTAGTCTGTTCTACAGAGTGATTTCCAGGATAGCCAGGGCTACACAGAGAAACCCTGTCTCAAAAAACTGGAAAAAAAAAAACAACCCACAATTTTTACACTTATTGTGTGCACATGTACTCATGCACTGTATTTTTATTGAAAATAAAACAAAAACATGAATAATACATACATACATGCATACATACAGATACACAGGTACACAAAATCCATAAAAACAAAATCAGACACAATAATAGACATGTAACTTTAAAAAAAGAAAGCCCAGGTAAAGCATTATGAGAGAAAACATCTCCCAAGGTACCATTAAATTTGGTTTTTTTTTTTTTTTTGGTTTTTTTTTTTTGGTTTTTCGAGACAGGGTTTCTCTGTGGTTTTGGAGCCTGTCCTGGAACTAGCTCTTGTAGACCAGGCTGGTCTCGAACTCACAGAGATCCGCCTGCCTCTGCCTCCCAAGTGCTGGGATTAAAGGCGTGCGCCACCACCGCCCGGCCATTGAATTTGTTTTATGTTGTCCGTCTGTCCCAGGCATGGGGCCTCCCTTAAGTGTGGTTTGTATGTAGAACGCTTAAGAGTTTCCACTACTGTGAAGAATACTGCAGCTCTTTTTTTGTTTTGTTTTGTTTTAAATTTTATTTATTTATTTATGTATACAGTGTTCTGCATGTATGTCTGCAGGCCAGAAGAGGGCACCAGATCTCATAGATGGTTGTGAGCCACCATGTAGTTGCTGGGAATTGAACTCAGGACCTCTGGAAGAGCAGTCAGTGCTCTTAACCTCTGAACCATCTCCCCAGCCTGACTGCAACTCTTATAAAGGAAAACATTTAATTGGGGTGGTTTACAGTTCAGAGGTTCAGTCCATTATCATGAAGCATGGTGGCATTCAGACAGACAGGGTGCTGTAGAGGTAGCTGAGAGTTCTGCATCGTGATCCGCAGGTAGCAGGAGCTTCTGAAACCTCAGAGCCCACCCCCAGTGACACTTCCTCCAACAAGGCCACACTTCCCATAATGCTGCTCCCTGAGTCTGTGGGGGCCATTTTCATTCTTTGGTCAGCTGGGGATAGCTCTGGGGTAGGGGTGGGAGCTTGTGTTCCTTCTTTATTGACTTAGACCTGTGATTGCTGCCACAGTCATGAGTTCATGTGTGTCAGTCCTGTAGTGTGTAGAAGGCCTTGTTTCCTTGGTGTCCTGCATTCCACTGGCTCCTACAATCCTCTCGCCCCGCTTCCTTGCAGTTAGTTTCTTTCTTTCTTTCTTTCTTTCTTTCTTTCTTTCTTTCTCTTTCGAGACAGGGTTTCTCTGTAGCTTTTGGTTCCTGTCCTGGAACTAGCTCTTGTAGACCAGGCTGGCCTCGAACTCACAGAGATCCACCCGCCTCTGCCTCCCGAGTGCTGGGATTAAAGGCGTGCGCCACCACCACCCGGCTTTTTTTTTCTTCTTCTTTTTTCTGAGTTCTGAGGGTTTGATGAAGACGTCCCATTAGGACTGAGTGTTCAAGGTCTGTGGCTCCCTGCACATCGTCCAGCTGTGTGTCTCCTGCAGGAGGAAGCGTCCCTGGTGATGGCTGGGCGGGCTCTGATCTGATTCCCAGGTGGTGTGGCCACCCCTTATGCACATTAGTGCATGTGCCGTGGTGTTTGTGTGGTAGTTCTCTCCTTTCCCACGGGGGCCCTGTTAGATGTGGCATCAGGTGCCTTTGTCTGCTGAGCCATCTCACCCATCCCAGTCTTCAAGTTCGGTCTGCCTGCCTCTGCCCTGAGCTTCGGGATTAAAGGTGTGCACCACCACATGCGGTTAGGGTCTTACTGCATGAGAATCGTCAACATTTGATAGACCACCGAGAGCATTCTTACAGGGATCTGGCACATTCCCAGCATTTAGGATGTAGAATCAAGAGAACTCAGTCAGCTGTGGCTCCATTAGTCTTAGTCTCAGACAGAACAAAAGCCATAATCCAAGCATCTGAAGGTAGAGCTGGGAGGAGTGCCCACATGTTGAAGACCAGGGAAAGAAAATATGTGATTTCTAACTCTAAAAAGACTGGTCAAGAGCATTATGGCAGCTATTTAAGATCAGAGTTTGGTTCCTAGCATCTATATTGGGTGGCTCATAGCCACCTGTAACATCAGCCCTATGGGATCTAATACCCTCATCTGACTTCTAGAAGCACCTGCATACTTAAGGAGACACATTTAAAAAAAACAAAAACAAAGTAATCCCTCCCTTCCTGTAGAAGGAGCTCCGGGCAGGCCTGCTTTTCGTCCCGCCCAGCTCCTGCCCAGCTAGCTTTACACCCGAAATAACAACACACACATTGTATTCATTTAAACACTGCGTGGCCCATTAGCTCTAGCCTCTTACTGGCTAACTCTCACATCTTGATTAACCCATTTCTATTAATGTGTTTTGCCACTTAACTGTTGCTTACCGGCATGAGTCTAACCACTGTCCATCTCGGGAAGGGGAATCATGGCATCTGACTGACTGCTTCTTTCTCCCAGCATTCTGTTTGGTCTAAATTCTGCCCTATCAAAAGGCCAAGGCAGTTACTTTATTAACCAATGAAAGTAACACATAGACAGATGACCCGCCTATATCACATCCCCACCTCCGAAACAAGGTTTCTCTGTGTGACAGCTCTGGCTGTCCTAGAGTTCTCTGTAGACGAGATCTGCCTGTCTCTGCCTCCTGAGTGCTGGGATTAAAGGTATTCACCACCACTGCCTGGCCAACAAAGTAATCTTTTTTTTTTTTTTTTTGGTTTTTCGAGACAGGGTTTCTCTGTAGCTTTGGAGCCTGTCCTGGAACTCCCTTTGTAGACCAGGCTGGCCTCGAACTCACAGAGATCCACCTGCCTCTGCCTCCCGAGTGCTGGGATTAAAGGCGTGCGCCACCACCGCCCGGCCCAAAGTAATCTTTTTTAATATTTATTTATTATGTATACAATATTCTGTTTGTATATGTCTGCAGGCCAGAAGAGGGCACCAGACCTCATTACAGATGGTTGTGAGCCACCATGTGGTTGCTGGGAATTGAACTCAGGACCTTTGGAAGAGCAGGCAATGTTCCTAACCACTGAGCCATCTCTCCAGCCCCCACAACAAAGTAATCTTTGAGGATAAGCGTTATAATAAATTTTAAGTTTTCACATAGGGAATAAGTGAATATATGAAAGTATTCCTGGTGCTTGCTTTGGCAGCACATATACTAAAATTGGAACGATACAGCGATTAGCATGGCCCCTGCTCAAGGATAATACTTAAATTCATGAAGCGTTCCATATTTTTAGATATCCTCATCCAGTATGATTGGACCCTGTTTGTGGCTGATCCTCAACCCTGTGAATCCAAAAAGTTTGGGGGGCCTGGTGCCCATGCTCGATACCAGAAATCCTACCGATAAGCCCAACTCAAGGATCAGGGTTTACCTTTGTAATACATCCTAGGGTTTTAATGATAATAAAAAGAAAGGAAGTATTCCCATATTCCTGGTTCCTGGATGTTTATAATGATCAGCCAAATTGAATGTTCTAAATTAATATATGTTGATTCTTCTAGGCAGAAGAAGAGTTCAACATTGAGAAGGGTCGTCTTGTGCAAACCCAAAGACTGAAGATTATGGAATACTATGAGAAGAAAGAAAAACAGATTGAGCAGCAGAAGAAAATGTAAGGAGATGATGGTTAATGCACTGAGCTAAAGAAGCCATGTGTCTGTAGCCCACGTTGGCCAGAGCTTCTAAGTGGGACTGCGGGCATGTGCCACCATGTGTGATTTCTGCACTGCTGGAGATTGACTCCAGGGCCTTGTACTATCCACACGCTCCACCAACCAGCCTTGCCAGTCCTCAGCCATTAGGAAGGTTTGAAAGGCAATGAAGCAAGGTCACAGGGAATAGCTCAGTGGGACGGTGCTTTTTTACCCTGTGCTGGGCCCAAAACTCCACCCCGAGATCTGCTCTTCATCCTAAGAAAGTTCAAAACTACAGAGACAAGACGAAGCAGCTTGAGAGTCTAGTTCTTCCTCCTCTTTTCTCCCCAAGACGGTTTCTCTGTGTAACCCTGGCTGTCCTGGAACTCGCTCTGTAGACCACGCTAGCCTTGAACTGGGAGTCTACTTCTTGACATCAGCAAGCTAGTGGGCTTTTGTCACTGTGAACAGAAGCCTTAGCTGGGGTGGGAGCTAGTGTCTGAGACGTGAGAGTCATGAGTTTGAAAATGGCGGTGATAAACAGGGTCTATGGTTTATCTCCAAAGCTAACAGATGGAAGAAGATGGGGGCATAGGGTACACTCCTAGAATCCAGCAGAGGCAGAGCTCTGGGTTCCAGGCCAGCCTGGTCTACGTAGAGTTGAAGTTAGCCAGAGCTACACAGTGAGACCTTGAATCAAAAAAGAAGGGCAAAACTGGTGAGAGTGCTTGGAGACTCCAGGGTTCCTGCAGGGCTGCTGACTGCTTACCCAGCGTCCTCTGCTTACATGGAAAGTGTGTGTTTTTCTGTATCGTTGTTTTTGATGTTGTATTGATAGTCTCCCATCCCTTTTGTAGTCAAATGTCCAATCTGATGAATCAAGCAAGACTCAAAGTCCTCAGAGCAAGGGATGACCTCATCGCTGTGAGTACTTAGCTCTAGTGACTATGGAACTGTGAAATGCTCGTTCACTTTCCCACGATAATTATTAGTTAGCATTTAGAAATAATGGTTTGTTGTTGCTGTTGTGTTTGGTTGGGTTGGTGTTTTTTGTTTGCTTGCTTTTGTGATAGTGTGCTTCTCAGTATGCAGTTGGCCTAATTGATCTTCCAGTCTGATTGATCTTTTGTTTGTTTGGCTTTGCTTTTCAAGACAGGGTTTCTCTGTGTAGACCAGGCTGGCCTGGAACTCAGATCCACCTGCTTCTGCCTCCTGAGTGCTGGGATTAACGGCGTGTGCCACCACTACCCAACCAGACTGAGTCTTCTGAGTGTTTTTTGTTTTTTCAAGACAGGGTTTCCTGGGGGCTGGAGAAATGGCTCAGAGGTTAAGAGCACTGGCTGCTCTTCCAGAGGTCCTGAATTCAATTCCCAGCAACCATATGGTGGCTCACAACCATCTGTAATGAGATCTGGCGCCCTCCTCTGGCGTGCGGGCATACATCGAAGCAGAATGTTGTATACATAATAAATAAATAAATCTTAAAAAAAAAAAAAAAAAGACAGGGTTTCCCTATGTAACCCTGACTGGCCAGGAGCTCTCTCTATAGACTAGCCTGGCCTCAAACTCACAGAGATCCTCCTGCCTCCTGAGTGCTGGAATTAAAGACAGTATGCCACCACTATTCAACCAGTCTGAGACTTCTGAGTATAGTTACAAGCATGCACCAATATGCTCAGGTTTATGAGCATTTTTTAGAGAGAAAAATATTTTTTTAGCAAATAATTATACTGGATATTAATAATAAATGATGGCATGGTAATAGTCTGGCCTTGAGTCTAGTGACCATTTTAAGTTAATGGCATATAAGACAGTCAGGGGCTGAAGATAGGGCCATGAATGTAAAACTAAGAGCCACACCTGCTTTCAATTTAGAAAAAAAGATTGTTTTAGCTAGGCGAAGGAGGTACACACCTTTAATGCCAGCACTAGGGAGGCAAAGGCAGGTGGATTCTAAGTTCAAGGCCAGCGTGATTTACAGAGTGAGTTCCAGGACAGCCAGGGCTGCACAGAGTAACCCTGTCTGCAAAAAACAAAACAGAAGAACTTTGTAAAGTTCTTTTATCCTACAGTAGGAAACTCAGTGGATCTGGGAAGGCATGGGGACTGTTTTCCTTGGAATTGGCACTTACATTGAACATGCTCGTGTCTGGAAGCTCTTGCACTGGTGCAACTAGTGTCCCCAGCACCACATGAAACTGGGCATAGTGGGCCCTCCTGCATCCCCAGCATTCAGGTGGCCAAGGTGTGAATCACTGCAAGTTTGAATCCACCTGGCTACACTGTGAGTCCCAGGCCAGGCACAGGTGCATAGTGAGACTGTCAGAAACAAAAGGGAAATTAGCTGTTTTAAGCAACCACATTGTGCAGGATACTGTAACCTAGGACAGAAATGTTCCAGCCTTTCTCTGCTTGGTCCTGGTTGTCCTGGAACTCACTTCGTAGACCAGGTTGGCCTCAAATTTAGAGATACGCCTGTCTCTGCCTCCCAAGTGCTGGGATTAAAGGCATGCTCCACCACCATCCATCAGAGAAAGGTTTTCTTGTTTTGCTTTTTTGTTTTGTTGAGACTGTAACAGGTGTGCCACTCTTGGCTTTTATTATTTATTTGTGCTGGTGTTTTGCCTGATGTGGGGGTGTCAGGTCTTAGAGTTACAGACAGGTGGGAGCTGACATGTGGGTGCTAGGCATTAAACCCAGGTCCTCTGAAAGAGCAGTCAGTGCTCTGAACTGCTGAGCCATCTTGCGAGTCCCACTCCTGGTTCTTTATACAGGCTTTTCACAGTAGCTGAATTGTCTAATGCTGTTACTGGCTTTGAAACCTACACTATGCCAAATACCAACATGTACCTTGGGCTGGCTTAGACTTTCCTGTGTTGCCAAGGATGACCTTGAACTTCTTAGCTTCCTGCTTCTACTTAGTGCTGGGCTTACCAGGATGCACCACAGTGGCCCATTTTGTAGTCCTGGGGGGTCTAAACCAGAGTTTCATACATGCTACGCAAACACTACTAACTGACCTGCACCCTCAGATTGTTGGTGTTTTGTTTTTGTTGATTGTTTTGTTTTTGTTTTTGTTTTTTTCCAAGACAGGGTTTCTCTGTGTACCCCTGGCTATCCTAGAACTCGTTCTGTAGGCCAGGCTGGCCTCAAACTCAGAGATCCACCTGTCTTTGTCTCCTGAATGCTGGGAGTAAAGTCATGTGTGTACCTGATTGTCTTTGTTTAGAGACAAGGTGCCAATAGCCCTAGAGCCTGTAGTTGAGTCAGGCAGGCCCTGGATCCTAGCAATGCAGACATACACCAGCATACTGACCAGGTCTTGCTGTGTAGTCCCAGCTGGCCTTAGACACTCAGCATTCCTTCCATCTCTGAATTGGAATGACAGGCTTTGTAATTTATAATTATAGATCTTTGCAGGTTCATCAGTCCCATAGGTTTCTGCCAAGCAGATCTGCTAAAGAGAACTCTAAGAACAAGAATGGTGTTTCTCATCAGCACTCGGAAGGCAGAGGCAGGCAGATCTCTGGGTTCAAAGCCAGCCTGGTCTACAGGGTGAGTTCCAGGACAGCCAGAGATATACAGAGAAACTCAAGTGGTGTTTCCTGGACTGTTTAAGTTTCTCAAGACAGGGTTTCTCTGTGTAACAGCCCTGGCTGTCCTAGAACTCACTTCCTGAGAGCTGGGATTAAAGGTGTGCACCACCACTGTCCTGTATATTCCTTGCTTTCTTGCAGTGTTTGTAGCACAGACAGGTACATTATCTGTGTCTCGGGATGTGTGTTTAGTGAATACCCAGCAGTGGGATGTGAGGCAATGGGCATGCGCTGTGACGGGCAGATACAGCGCTTTCTCTTTCCGCTCTCTGTAGGATCTGCTAAATGAGGCCAAACAGAGACTCAGCAAAGTGGTGAAAGATACTACCAGATACCAAGTGCTGCTGGACGGGCTGGTCCTCCAGGTATGGTTCTATGCCAAGTTGGCTATGCACAGCTGCAGTCCTGGGAGCCTCTAAAGTTTGTCAGAGGCCAGCTCAGTTTTTCCACCTCAACTTCTTTTTCCTTATTCCTGTGTCTGGTGTGTGTTGTACAGGGGCAACAAAGTCCTTTCTTTCTAACCCTCTGGTCAGATCTACCTGTCGCCTGCAGCTTTACACGTCCCTACTTTGGTTTGACCTTTAAAATACTTGACTTTAAATCCATGGTTAGTGCTGAGGACATAGCTCGGTGGTCAAGGCAGAATATTTGCATAGCTTGTGAGTAACCCTCAGGTTCGCTGCCTAGTACTACAGTACTAGGAAAAAAAGGAAAAAAGTTCAGTTGTTTGCTCCTGGGTTATGAATCTTTTATTTTACTCATGTTAATTCAGAGTCCTCAGTCCGGCTAATAGGACTCCGTAGGAACGCGGTCGAGCATTGAAAATCTCTGGTTTCAGTCCGTGTCTAGTGCTAGTACGGAGCTTGCTGTCTTGTGTCCTCATACTGCATTGTTTGTGCAGAGCTCTGTGTGACACTGGAAAGAACTACAGGACGCTGTTGTCTGTTTTCCATTACAGACTCTGATTGCTTTTTCCAGGGCCTGTACCAGCTGTTGGAGCCC